AAAAAGGCTCAAGAAGTTCACTTCTATTACGGTAACCATATTACCTGAAATACTTAGTTTTAAACAATTTTGAGATGTGTAGAGCGTATAAAGAATGAGTCTGACTGAAAAGACAGACCTAGGAGAAACAGATTCTTAGTGGCTCCAAACAGACCTTGCCAAGACCTCAAAAGGACCATTGTAAGCAATGGATAAAATAGAACAATGCAAATAAATAAAAGGAAAGGAAATGTTCAGTAATTAGAGGGGAATATTGACACATTCACCCAACCCCCTGGAAATCTCAATAATGAAAGAGTGGTTATGGAATCGCACTGTTTCTGATGCTATTGTAAGTAAAAATTGTTTAATTTTATCTTTAGAATACTAATTTTAAAAATCTGTGGTTATTAGCCCTTATGTTCTCTCTTTGATTTACTTTAACATCGTGTCATCTGTGACTAGATAACTTTCTTTAGCTTCTGTTTTACTTTTGCGTCTTTGTGTGTGTACCATGTGTGTACCATGTGTGTACCACATGTTTACACCATGTGTGCAGGCGCCTGTGGAAGTCAGAAAAGGGTCTTGGGTCCCCCAGAGCTGGGAACTGAACCCTGGTCCTCTGGAGGGGCAGTCAGGGCCGATCTATCTCCAGCTCCTGCATGTCTTATTCCCTTCCAGAACAGATAGTTTTCTTCCTTTTCCTTGCTTCCTTTGGCCTGGCCAGAAGCTCCAGTGGAACGTTACATAGAAGTGGTAATGTACATGTGTGTCTTGTTCCTGGTGTCTGGGAAAATCTTGTAGTTGAGGTGGTGCATCAGTTTATATGCTGAGTGAAGTCAAGTTGAAAAAGCACTCTCATCTTCCATGGTAGTCTGTCTTAATCAAGAAATGGCGTTACTTTGGTAAGTGCCTTTGCTTGCATAAGTTGGGACATTTATTTTTTTAAAACTTTGACCTTATCAGTCTGTTATGTTATATGGATTTTTACCCCCCCCCATATGTTGGTCCATCCTTACTTTCTTTTGATAAATCTCGTTTATCCTTGAGCTATATGATCTTTTTACTATGTTGCTGGATTTAATTTTCTGAAATCTGTTTTTATTTATTTATGTTATATGTGGGTGTTTTGTCTGCATGCATGTGTGTATCACACGTGTGTCTGGAGCTGAAGGCCCTGGACCGGAGTCCTTTACATAGGTAGTCGTGAACTCCCAGGTAGGTCTTGGGAATTAAACCTGGCTCCATTAGAAGAGACCATATTCTAACTGTTGATCCACTTTTACAGTCCCATAGTTCACTAATAGTTCACTAATTTTTAAAAACAAATTTTTCACCTACATTCATGATTTTAGTCCATACATTTTTCCAGAAAAAATGTTTTTGATTTATATTTGGTATCATAATTCTGGCCTCGTAGAATGAGTTAGGAAGTGTTTTATTATTCTATTCATAGAAGAATTTAAGATGGATGTTTTTAAATTCACTTTCAACCTAGTCTCTGAAGTCATCCAGTTACTATAACTCAAAGGTCCTGTGTCATCAGTCGGTAACAGGTGTCACAGACCCTGGAAGAAAGCAGTAGGTTCTAAATGGTTCAATTTTTGTTTCTGGCCTCTTTGAAGGCAGTTTTGTTTATGACAGTTTTGAGTTCACCGTGTGAATTTTGAGCTACGAAGTCCCAGTGGAGAAGGGCAGGGCAGGCGCTCCTCCCCCTGAAGCTCTCTGCTCACTTGTGTGGTCATGGCGGATGTCCCTCAGTTATGGGCTAATTCAGTCCCAGGGTTTCCTTCTGCCTCTGTAATATCTACTTTTCATTATAGCCGCTGATAGGACATCTCAGGTTTCCTTAGCCTTTGTTTCATTGTTGAGTCTTGAACTCTGGGCTTCATATACTAAGCGTGCATTTTACCCCCGACGCCCCTCCCAAGCTCTCGGTTAGCTCTTTGTTGATATCTCTAGCTCTTTTTGGGTGTACGTAATTGTTGATTGTTGTGCTCCTCTTAGGTTCTTTGTGTGTGGTTTCCAGTGACTTTCTTCTCTTGTTAATGGGCTTCTTGTTCTGTGTGTCACTCACATACACATATTTTTATCACATGGCTTCTATTCATTTGGAATTATGTTATATTTAAAGTTGGCAGTGTGAGTATTCCACTGTGGCAGTTTTGAGGATTAGATTTCTCCCCTTTAGGGTATATTGTTGGTGCTTGTGCTTGCCAGTTTTGTTATTGACTATTGAAACTAGTTCCTGAGTTCACTGTTCCATGTTGTGTGTAGTCCCTGAAATCTCTGCTTAGGTTAGTAATTCAGTACTTGTTTGACAGAAATGCCTTCATGCTGAAACTTGGCTGCCTTTTTTTCTTGGTTAAAATGAACCACTTATTAATTTATAAAATTTTAATAGAATCAATGTTGACAATTTTTTTGGGAGGGAATAGACTTTTTGGATTGAACTTTTCCATCATATATATATATATATATATATATGTATGTATGTATATACATATATATGTATATATATTTAGCAATCTTGTGTGTCTGAATGACCATTCATCAAGGAAGACATCACAGGGTTACTGGAAATACTGTGAATTGAAGGAAATGAAAATCGATATAGGAAGTATGGGATACAGCTAAAGTAGATTAGAAGGAATGTATAGCTTTAAGTGCATGTGTGCTACAAAGTGGGGTTCATGTGCTACAAAGTGGGGTTTATGCACATAGCCTGGGACAAGGCAAATCTGCTTCCAGGTCTTATAAAACTTTATTGGCATACAGCTTTGCAAAATGTGTGTACAGGGCTGTGTGCCAGTGAAACTTACTTTTGTGGAATGGAAGGCAAAGCCTCTGCCAGAGATGTAGATCTGTGCTGCTGTGTCGTTTGTGTGACTGAGATCGTGTTCGTGATGAACTGCGTAGCAGTGACTCACGGGACTCAGTCACTTTAGGCCAGAGAGGCCTCCCCTCTGGTCGTTCCTTTTGGAGTTTTAAGACTGCATGGCTGTCGTGTTGCAGCTTTGCCACAGAGGCAGCGTCTGGGACTGAGCAGTGGGGATGCAGACAGAGAAGGAAAAGCAGGTCGGAAGGGACGCTCTGTGGCAGAGCACATCGTCTGGGTCCTCTGCTGCAGAGAGCCTGTGTCTGCTGTGCAGGTCTACCCAGGAGGAGACTAAGAGGTGTGGGCAGGGACCAAGCAGAAAACGCCTTCCAGTTCCTGGCCATTCTAAAGGTTTGCGTCCTCTGCATCCTGCCCAGTGTTAATGTTTAGTGTGAGGCAGTTTTCTCACCATGCTGTCCTAGGTTTTGCTAACAGTCTTGTGCATCTGAATAACCATTCATTAAGGAAGACATCACAGGGTTACTGGAAATACTGTGAATTGAAGGAAATAGAAACCAATATGGAACACGTTATGGGGTACAGCTAAAGTAGCTTCTACTTTTAAGTAGTGCAGGCTACAGAGGAGCTTACTCCATCTTTGCTGGGACTTGAGCCACACTCATTAGATGCTTCCTGTGCGCGCCTTGTGCTTCCGGTAACTCCCTTTGTGGAACACACACGTGGCCCGTGACAGCTACAGCAGAGGTTCCCCCAGCTCAAGGTTTAGAGTAGTGTAGCTGGGAGACTACAGCTCTTGTTTGCATAGAGGTTAGTTACTAAGACAGCTACGGCAGAAACAGTGTATGTGTTGCTTACCCTGTTTGAGACAACAGTGCTGAAACTGCCCGTGCTTCCTAGTTCTCATAATCACCTGACTGCATAAGTGTCAGATTATTCCCACTTTAAGATTGAGGTGCAAGGAGATTAGGCAGTTTGCCCAAGGCTGCGTCCATAATAAAGGGTAAAGCGGAGACTCAAGCCTAAAGGGGAGGGACATGTGTTAGAAGTCTGTTCTAAAACCTACTTTTGTGTCAGTTTTCACGTGAGTCAAAGTAGAGACTAGTAAAACCAACCCTTTCGATATTGTCCACCCAGCATTCAACAATATTACACTTTTCTTGTTTTAATTTTTCAACTTTTAAAAACTTTTCAATGAATCTAAAAGCATATTTTATATATAATTTCTTATAGACACAAGAATATAAGGACAATAAAAATAGCACTATAATCATAAAAAAGTAAAAACCAATTTCCTTTATATCGGCTAACATCTGTTTGGTGTCCGTTTTTATCATTTGTCTCCTAAGTGTTTCTCATAATTAGTTCAGCTCAGTATCTCAGTGTTTCTACATACCCTTATTTGTTGACATGTCTCTACATCTTCAGAGATCTGCCTGGATCCTAACCCTGGCTCCAGCAGCCCTCTCCTGATAAATTTTTAGGTTCTTTCAATGTAGGTTTGCACTTTGGAGTAGTTTTATTTTTATTGTTATATTAAGATGTACAATGTGTATTCTATGGAATGATTTTTAATTTATAGAAAAAGTACAGAGTACAGCGGTTCCCCTCCGCTCTGCACCCAGTCTTTAGCCCTTAACTTCATTGATTTACATTCCTGAAGTACATTTGCTAAGACTGTGGCGCCTGTATTGGTCTATTACTAGTACTTAGAAATTAATCTTTATTTTGATTTGCTCAGTACATGTCCTATGGCTTACTTCTGTTTTTTTCTTAAGTCAGTCTAAAAGTTCTTCTGCTCCCAAGGCCAGGTAAAAACTTCAGAGGACTCTTTCATCTCTTTACTCCCTAGTCTTTCCTGTACATAAGCTTAGGCATGTTTTTCATTTGTTGTTGGCTTGTACTTGTAATGTGTGTTACTACAAGGGAACAGAAAGGTACAGCCATTAGTATCATTCTGTTTTCTTTCCTTCTTCTCCTTACCTAAAAGACAGTGTCGTTCCCTGCTATACACATACCAGATGTGTGTCTGGGTCATCACCCTTGCTCTGTAGGATGGCCTCTGACTGGTGGTGTTCACTGTATTCAATCTATATTCAATATTGGCCTTAAGCCACTAAGTTTGTCATATTGCTATGCCTTGGAAAACACTTAGCACATGCATGGTTTCTTTTGTAATTCACAGATATTTTCCAATTTGTCCCTGGATGAACGTTGCCTTTCTGCATCCTTGGTCTGCAAGTACTGGCGTGACCTTTGTTTGGATTTCCAGTTCTGGAAGCAGCTGGATCTTAGCAGTCGGCAGCAGGTATGGAAGTGAATTCTATTAAACCCTTGTTTGCCTTACTCAGTTGAAGAAACATTTTATTCTCTTTTCAAACGGCTGTAATCTACAATGATTTTCTTTTTTTCTCCTTCCTTCCCTCCCCTTTTTTTCTTTTTTTGAGGCAGAGTTTCTTTGTGTAACAGCCCTGGCTGTCCTGGAACTCTATAGGCCAGGTTGACCTCAAACTCGCAGAGCTCTGCCTGCCTCTGCCTTCCCAGTTCTGGGATTAAAGGTGCCACTGCCCAGCTAAATGCTTTCTTTTTAAAAAAGTTTTCTAAAAAGTTTAAACACACACACACACACACACGCACGCACGCACACACGCACAGTGTATGTAAGTTCAAGTGAGAGCTACATCCCACGGTGGGAAGTTAGCTTCTAATGTAGACTAGTAGCTGGGATTCTTTACTTCTCTCTGTCATAGTCCTTTTTGTGTCTCCCTTTGTCATCACCATTGCAGAACCACGAATCTTTTCATTTGGGGAGCGTACATCTGTCTCTGGCCATGGGCTTTAGACATAAGAATCCATCCATCTCTCCTTAGCTTCAGTAAGAGATACTGTTATTTCCTGTTCGATGGATAAAGAAATGGAAGTAATTTGGGCTAAAGTAACTTTTAGAGAAAAACATAACTTTTCTCTTGGCAGTTTTTCAACTTTCCAATTGGTCAGTTGCTCAGTCTACTTACATGGTGGCATAGATCAGGAAAACAGATGGGATTTATAGTGTTGATTGCAGACAGCTTATTAGAGTTCTTGGCTCATCCTTTCAATGGTAGTTGGTATTTGGCTTATAAATACTTGAAAGCATCCAATACAGACATGATCTGATTGGAATCATAAACTGCTCTAAATCCCACATGATGCATTTGATGACAGAGGTTTTTCTTAAAAAAGGAGATTTGTGGTATTTGCTGGTTATTAGGCTGTGAGTGACCCTGCCGTGCCTCCTTTCAGGCTACTCCTTTCAAGCTGCTATCCAGTGCACAGATGTGCACGCAGTAGGCTTTTGTGAGGCAGTCCAAGCAAGTGCTGACACAGCACTGGTGGTTTGCTTAAGAACCACACTTGTAAACAGATTAAGCAAGTTCCAGAACATTCGTTCCTAAGCCTTCCTGTTCTTATACGAGGCTCAGACAGCTCCTGAACTACTGGCTTGGGCCCCAGCCCAGCCAGACTGTGCAAATGAGGGTCAGGCAAGGGGGCGGGGATCCTGGCCGCCTCCTCCTGCTGCGCGCTTTCCTGGCTCACAGTGAGGAGGCCCCAGCGCCTCAGCAGACTCACACAGGCGGCTCAGTCAGGGCTCCTACTCAGGCACTCAGCAGACTCACACAGGCGGCTCAGTCAGGGCTCCTACTCAGGCACTCAGCAGCTGGTCTTCTTTCTGCATTTTAAGCCTTATCTGCATTTTCTCTTTCCCTTGTTTTTGTCGGAAGAACTTGAATAATATTAACCCTGATTTGTCTTTAAATGTGGTGATTTGGCTGGGAACATGCATGGCTGGCATCTTATTATTATCTTAAATTCAGGTAGCCACGTGAGTGTTTTTTTTCTGATGAATTATGTTTACTTGTATTTTGTATTGACTCTTACCAGTAAAGTTTTTTCAAAGACATTTCTGTAGGCTTTGATGTTTTGCAACACAGTGATGCATGTTCTCAGCTGTGAATGTGAGGCGGTGTTCAGGTAGCTGTGAGTTCACTACCTGTGAGGCGGTGTTCAGGTAGCTGTGAGTTCACTACCTGTGAGGCGGTATGCAGGTAGCTGTGAGTTCACTACCTGTGAGGCGGTGTTCAGGTAGCTGTGAGTTCACTACCTGTGAGGCGGTATGCAGGTAGCTGTGAGTTCACTACCTGTGAGGCGGTGTTCAGGTAGCTGTGAGTTCACTACCTGTGAGGCGGTATGCAGGTAGCTGTGAGTTCACTACCTGTGAGGCGGTGTTCAGGTAGCTGTGAGTTCACTACCTGTGAGGCGGTGTTCAGGTAGCTGTGAGTTCACTACCTGTGAGGCGGTATGCAGGTAGCTGTGAGTTCACTACCTGTGAGGCGGTGTTCAGGTAGCTGTGAGTTCACTACCTGTGAGGCGGTGTTCAGGTAGCTGTGAGTTCACTACCTGTGAGGTGGTATGCAGGTAGCTGTGAGTTCACTACCTGTGAGGCGGTATGCAGGTAGCTGTTTCCATGCTGGGCTGTCCTCTGATGTCACGTGTAAACAGTCAGTTCATGGGGTGGGAATGCAGCTCAGTGTAGAGGGCTTGCCTGTGACGGTCAGTTCTTAGCACCAGTAAACCCAACCTCCACCCCCCACAAAATAACCAAAACCACACCTAACTAAACCAGATACCAATTTGTGTAGCATACTGATTTATATTAATAACTGCTTAGTTGTAAAGCATTTTGTATCTTGGTGTAGATTTGTCTGTAGTTTTTAGTGAGCTTGAAGGCTTGTTTAAAGTGAGCTCGCAAAGGATTGGTTTTCAGGGTTTAGTGAAAAGCCCTGTGCGTGTTCTCCTTGCGCTCTGAAACCACCTACAGTACCAAACCCATGGCGCATGCTCCACACTGACAGCCGATTTCAATAGCAACACTTAGTGCAGACCCCGCAGGCTAAGGGCCTGTAGCCCTGCCTCCTCACAGGCCACTTGCAGGTCCTAGGAGCAGCAAACAGCTAAAAGCTCTGGTGCCCCAGCTGTCACCTTGGGCTTGGTAAATGGCTTCCACTATCCAGTGAGTGCAGGAAAGGATTCTGCTTATATTTTCTGATTTATAATTAAGGATACAATCAGAAATATCCACATGCAGAAGTTGTAAGTCAAGATAGGGATATTCCAGTCTTCAGCACTTCATGTTATTACTAAATTTTTGCTGAAGAGTTCTTACAATCTAATCTCCACAAACTTTCGTGTCCCCTCCTGGAGGTCAGAGACGGATGGCTGAACTACTTTCTGATCCTGCATTTAGTGTTTGCTGTTATTACCGGAGTTTGAGCCCAGGACTGTGTTTCTAGCCCTACCTGGCTAATCTTTATGGCCACCACTCCTCACCCTGAAGCTGTCACGAGCCCTCTCTCATCCAACCCTTTACTCTGTTCAGGAAGGTTCAAAGGGACTTTTTATGAATCATAATACCACAATTCTGGTTATGCTTTAGAAGTAAGTTTTTCTTTTAATTGTGTTTTCATACTGTAATATAATTATTACTTACTGGAAGAAGTAATACAAAATAGATATCCACTTTCAGCAAAGTTTAATTTATTATATCTTTTTCTCTCATAGGTCACTGATGAATTATTGGAAAAAATTGCATCCAGAAGTCAGAATATCATTGAACTCAACATTTCTGACTGCCGCAGTATGTCTGACACCGGCGTGTGTGTTTTAGCATTTAAGTGTCCTGGACTGCTTAGATACACAGCCTACAGGTGTAAACAGCTCTCTGACACCTCCATTACTGCGGTTGCCTCCCACTGTCCTTTACTGCAGAAAGTGCACGTGGGCAACCAGGACAAGCTTACTGACGAAGGACTCAAGCAGGTAAATACACAGCGTTTCCTGAGTGGTTTCACACACTAACTTAAAAACTTGTGCAGCAACAGTTTGAAATGTTGCATTACAAATGATGAGTGGAGACCAAAGCGAGCCATCTTTTCTGTGTAGTGATGCCTATTGCTTAGGCAGTGGTGACACCCAGATGTGTTAATGTTGCTGTGCTTTACACCTAGTGTCTGATGTCTGTAACCAGCCATTTACTAACTTCTTCTTAAAATCCATTTATTTATTTATTAAGTGGGCCTATACCAGATTTTGCTTTAAGTTACAACATTCAGTTTGGGTCACAATAAATTTTTAAAAGTTAACTATTAATTTCTCTTTCACATTATCAGATGGCGTATTTTAAACATGGTTCTTAATACCAGTGGTTAAGGTAGCCTCTTCACTATTGCTGAGATTCTCAGTTGGGGTCATCCTTGTGGATCCCTGGACATTTCCCTAGTGCCAGGTTTCTCCTTAAGCCCATAATGGCTCCCTCTATGAAGGCATCTCTTCTTCCCCCAACAAGACTTTGCTTATCCCTCATGTTCTCCTCCTCCTCCCTGAGGAAGCCCACAGAGACAGCTGACCTGAGCAAGTGGGAGCTCATGGACTCCAGACTGATAGCTGGGAAACCAGCATAGGACTGACCCAGACCTGTATGGGGATGCCAATTAGGAGGCCTGGACAATCTATGGGGCTTCTGGTAGTGGATCAGTATTTATTCCTAGTATACAAATGGACTTTGGGAGCCCATTCCACATAGCTTAGACAAATGATATGACAAACTTTGAAGATTCCCCATGGGAGGCCTCACCCTCCCTGAGGAGTGGGTGGATGGGAGGGGTGGGATGGGGAGATGATGGGGGGAATGGGAGGATGGGAGGGAGAGGGAACTGGGATTGGTATGTAAAATAAGATTGTTTTTAATTTAAATAAAGATTAATTTAAAAATTCCAGTGTTGTAAGACATAAATGGAAATTCAAATTAAAGAGCATAAAATAAGAAGAAAATGGTAATTACCTATATTTGGCTTAGTAATTAGAAATAAATCAGCTCAATAGTACACTTTGTTGATGGAAGTTTTTGTCTTTCACGGTTCTGTAGCCATTGGTTCACAAATAAACACAGAGGCTTATATTAATTATAAGGTGTTTGGCTGATGGCTCAGGCTTCTTATTGGCTAGATCTCTCTTATTTATTAACCAGCTTCTGTTAATCTGTGTATCTCCACATGGTCTTGGCTTACCGGAGATGCCCAAGCTTCTTGCTTTCTTGGCAGGTAGGTGGCGTCTCTTTCAAGACTCTCTCTCTGCTTTCGTCTTCCCAGAATTCTCCTGGTCTGGTAGCCCCACCTATACTTCCTGCCTGCCTACTGGCCAATCAACATTTGTTCATCAGCCAATAAGAACAGCATATTTACAGCATATCTAAGGACACCCCCATCATCTCCTCTTTTCTATCTAGATAAAAAGGAAGGTTTCAACTTTAACACAGCAAAAGTATATATAACGAAACAGTTATTAAGCAAGAACTATAGTTAACAATATTTAGTCCACTAACATTTGGCAAAATTTTAAGAATATTCTATCGTCTCTTATCTTTGTGAGTCTAAAGTTTTATATGTAACTTATCTTTTATGAAAGTGAAGGAAGCCGGGCGGTGGTGGCGCACGCCTTTAATCCCAGCACTCGGGAGGCAGAGGCAGGCGGATCTCTGTGCGTTCGAGGCCAGGCTGGACCGATAGCCTCTGAAACAATACAGAGAAACCTTGTCTCGTAAAAACCAAAAAAAAAAAAAAAAAAAAAAAAAAAAGAAAGTGAAGGAAAACCATAACTATCTGTCTTCAACTCCGTCAAAGACTCCAGAAGGATAATATATAAACTCTAGAATTGACAGAGACATCTCGCTTCCTGGACAGTCACCAAAGTTCCTCTGTAACGTTGGGGAATCCGTCTTCAGCTCATAGGCCACGGTGTCTGATAGACATTTAATTAAGTAGGAAGTTTGAAGATCTGTTCTGCCTGGTATTGGCAGAGTTCATCTGTACAGCAGGAACCCTGAAGGACTGTCTTGTCTGTTGGCAAGTCCCACAGTCACTTTCCTTTGTAACCTGCTTGTTCAGTTTGGACAGTGTTCTTACTGCTGTTTCTGTCATTGCTCACATTTTTTGGAATGGCTTGCTCACACTTCCTGTTTACTCAGTTAATATTATTTCCTTCTCTGGTCTCGGAGGGAGTTGAAGACTAGATAGCGTATCGTTTTCCTTGTTTACCAGAATCAGTGAAGAAACTCACTAAAGATGTGTTAAGTATAATAGGTTTGAAAGACATTAAAAGAGAATTTGATAATAGAAAGTAAATTAGGCACAAGACTTTGTACTCATCAAGAAAAAATAAATGGTGTATTTTCTCAGAATTTGTCTAATGCTAATGGCCTAGACATTGTTGATATACTTACTGCCTGTATATATTGTATAGTTATTATACTTATTGTATATAGTTTTTCTTATATTAGTTATAGCATTTTTAAAATTTTAGACAAAAAAGGAGGATACGTGGTGATATCTTGCTTGTCTGGAGGTCAGAGAATAAAGCTTGCTTACCATAACACTTCCGTATTCTGCCCTCCTTTTGGGATGGCATTGAACATTTCCTGACAGAGTGGCTTACTCATTCATGAAGGAAAGCTCCTTAAGTTGAAGCACTGTATATGAATGTATTGGAAGTTGAGTATGAGAACTTTGGGAAGACTGTCTTGAATAGAGTCTACTGAGTGTGGCCATTCACTGGGTTTATCAAGGATATCACCAACTTACAAGGGAGCCCATCTCATTGCCCAGGCATGCTATGAAGTAACACTTTTTTCCTTATTTTAGTATTTTCTGATTCAATTCTAATTGGTGCAGGTAAAACATTTTAAATTATTCTTTTCTAGGGAAATACAAATTTTTTGGATGTAGAGTGATTGTATTTCTTATGATGGTTCTATTTTTCAGTGTTTCATTATTTCACACTAAAACTTTTTTTAAAGTCACTGTATTAACAGCGGGGTCATCTTTACATATTTAAGTGTCATGTAACACAATAGGATCACATTGGCAGTCTGCTTGTGATGTTCTGAGTTATATTGTTGAAAAAGAATAACATGGTTGCTGTTGAAGCAGAGGGAAATTAGCAAGTTTGTAAGGGTCAGAATATGTTGTGACAATCAAATACTACAGAATTTTATAACTCTGAAACTGATGATGTTAAATCTTCTTTATTATGTGAGTCATTTTGAGAGTTTGTTATTTTGATATTTGTTTTAGATTTTATGTTTTTTGAATTATGAAGAAACTTCATACAATTCAGTATTCTCATTGAAATAGGAAAGCTGTCTGAATATTTCCTCCATAGTTAATTTTGTTGATGAAAGAATTCTCATTGTAGTGTAGAGTACCTTTCTATTCCTCACTGTTCTATAGCAAGGTGTGGCAAAAGTTGGACTGTTATATTAGATTGCTCTGACTGACAGTGGTGTTACTGGCATAGTCGAAAGAGAATGGATTTTATGTATACATAAATAATTAAGGTTTTGTGTGCAATGTACATTTGTTTCCTATTTTATTCTATATTGCTGTGTTAAATAAATGTTGCCCTTGGCCCACCTAGTGAATTAATTTTATAACCTACTGAAATTTGATTGTGTTGTGGAGTGTATTTTGGTTTTAACAAGCCAATACTTTTATGATGAGCTATTGATGGTTAACAGTTTTCTGTGATGATTATTTTTCCTTGAACTCAGTATCTTAGCAGTTAATTGACTTTGTTGGTTCACCCCCCTTCTGACAATAAAACTGACAAGTGGTTCAGATGCATTTTATTGATAATGCCTTTCCTTCATAAGTGCTACAATTTTGAATGGTTTTAGCAAACACAGAATGTATATACTTTTTTTCCCCTTTCTCCTTTCTTGGGGGGTTTTTAGAGACAGGGTTTCTCTGTGACTTTGGCTGCTGTCCTGGAAGTAGTTCTTGTAGACCATGCTGGTCTCAAACTCATAGAGATCCACCTGCCTCTGCTTTTCGAGTGCTGGGATTAAAGGTGTGCACCACCACCGCCTGGCCAAATGTATATATATGCTTTTTGAGTTGCTTTTTTAAAACAAACAATTACTTAAAGCTTTCAATTTAAAGCTGGAACAGATCAAGACTATGATTTTTAAAGTATTGAATTCTGCTTGATAATGTTTTTCAGACTATAGTGATGTACTTAAAGAGGTTTTTTCTTTCATTTAGTGTGTGCATGTGTGTTTGTGTTTGTGCGTATGTGTTTGTGTGTGTGTGTGCCTGTGTGTTTGTGTGTGCGTGGGTGTTTGTGTGTTTGTGCGTGTGTGTGTGCGCGTGCGTGCGCGTGCGTGCGCGTGCGCGTGCTGCACAGTGTACATGTGGACGTTAGAGGACACCGTGGGGTAGTTAGGTCTCTACTTGTACCGTGTGGGTTTCAGGGTTCCCACTCAGGAAGTCAGGATTAGTGGCCTTCTACTCCCCCTGCTTGAGTAATGTGTGTGTACTCATGTCATAAGAGGGCAGCTGGCAGGAGCTGCCTTGTCTCCTGCTCTCTTGTCGGTTCCAGAGACCTTGGGCCACCAGGCGTGGTGGCAGGCACCTGCACCCACTGAGTTACCTTGCCAGCACATTATCCTCTTTATAAAATACCATGTTTTGAATATTGATATTTGTATCTCCATAGAAAGCGTGCCATATAATCTTATCAATGGAAAAATTTACCGATATGTTGTATCTCTGTCTTACTTGTCTTGTAAGACTATAAAAATGAATTTGGGAGAAATTTGTCTTCAAGTAAGTGATTGTTAATAATCAACTCATTAAAATAAGTTTAAGAGATTATATCCATTGTTACTATTTTATGTGACAGTCACAACATGCAGTTTGAGTCATGGAACTCAGATATTTCTGAAAATAAGTCACTGTATTTTTTCTATATTAAAATAGTACTTA